CATTATTGTAGAATGAGTATGAGGATCCAAGGTGGGGGTGGGGGGACAGTGAAAATAGATGGGTGAGGATGAGTGGGTGTAGGGTGTTAACAAAAGGTTACACAATTTGATGGGTGGGTGGGGTGAAGGAAATGAGAATGATCTTTGGTGAAAAACAATGAATTCAAACTTTGTTAAGTAGAATAAATTTTTTTAAAAACTTCTGTAGAAATTGGGGACCTCTAGTGGCATAGTGGCAGGAACCTGCACTGCAATCCCAGAGGTGCATGATTTGAATCCACCAGATGCTCTGGAGAAGGAGGGACAATCTCCTCCTGTGCCAGTCAGATCTGATTTGACGATACACACACACAAAAATAATAAATTTTTTAAAAAAATTTAAAAAATTCCCTAGAAAGAGATGGAATACCAATTTATGTGTTTCAACCAAAATAATGCAACCCTGGATGAGCTCACCAGTCTATGCCAGGTAATTTGGAGGATGACTACCTGGCCGATTGATCAGAAGAGATCCATATTTGTTCCCATTACCAAGAAACATGATCCAACAGAATGTTAAAATTATCAAACAATATAATTAATATCACATGCAAGCAAAATATTGCTGAAGATCATACAAAAACAACTGGAACAGTATATTGACAGGGAACTGCCAGAAATTCAAGCTGTCTTTAGAAGAGGCTGTGGCATCAGGGATATGATTGCTGATGTTAGATGGATCCTGACTGAAAGCAGATAACATCAGAGGAATATCTAGTTGTTTTATTGACTATGCAAAGGTTGTGTGAATCATTACAAACTATGACTAACATTGAGAAGAGTGGGAATCGCAGAATACTTAATTGTGCTCATAAGAAACCTAGACCCAAGAAACCCTTGTCTAAATGGAACAAGGGACCACTGCATACGTATTCAAGCAGCATGCTAAGCAAATAATTCATGAAGTTGAACTCTAAGAAGAGGAATGCACCATTGGGTTTGGAGAAATAATCATCAACCACTTGCATTATGCAGATGACACAACCTTGCTTAAAGTGAGAAGGACCTTACATTTTTGCTGCAGAAGATCAAGCACTACAGCCTTTAATATGGATTACCTCTCAGCATCAAGAAAAGAAATTTATCATGAGATCAATAGGCAACATAAGATAGGTGGAGACAGAATTAAAGCTGTCAATGGTTTCAGCTTTCTTGGTTCCATAATCAACACCCTTGGTATCAGCAATCAGGATATCAGGAAATGTATTGCTTTGGGAAAGTCTGGGACCTTTCCAATATATTGAAGAGCAATGATGTCAGTTTAAAGACTAAGATGCTTCTAATTTAGGAGGTGCCTCGGATTCAGGCCAAGGTTTTTTCAACCAATTGCTATGTATCTGAGTGTTGGGCAATGAATGACAGAAGAGTAACTGATGCCTTTGAGTTGTGCTGTTGGCGAAGAGTACTGAATATCTCTTGAACTGTCAAAAGAATGAACAGATATGTCTTGGAAACAGCACAGCTAGAGTGCTCCTAGGAGGCACGGATGGCTGAACTTTGTTTCCCGTACTTTGGATATATTGTTAGGAGAGGCTATTCCTTAGAAAGATATATCATGATTGGAAATGTAGAGTGTTAGTAAAAGAGAGGAAGACCCCCAACAAGGTGGATCGACAGGTGACTGCAGTCAGAGAGGATGAGGATGCAACTTGATAGGACAGGGTTAAAGTTTGTTGTTCATTGGGTCACTTTGAGTCATCCTTGATTTGAGGGCATCTATAAATGACAAAACAATAACACAAGTTAGTAGTTTGTTTATACTACCCAGGAAGGTCTACTCATCCACTCAATTTAAGATTCACCTGTGAATTGGGTGTTACAGTTGTAGAGTTGTATAGTGAGGTCAATTTTTTCCACTCCTCTTTGCTCTTACACATCTCTTTACCCCTTCAAACTTTCTGGGTCTTCTTTCTTTCTTTGATGCAACATCTTATAAAGGATGAAAGTGATGGAAGGTTTGCAAGGGAGATAATATACTCCATGGTTTGCAGACACAAACCATGCATTCTCTGACTGACTTCTTGCACTGTCTTGGGCAGGGTCCCATTATATTGGCTCGAATATAATTATCTCCTGCAGTGTTTTCTTAGCTCACTCACAGTGCCTGGTTTCTAACATCTTTACATTATAAGCAATCTAATTTATGACTGGTTTTTTGTTTTGTATGTCTTATATTTAGTAATGTTGTTGTATGCTGTTAAATCAGAACAAATTAATAGCTGACCTTCCAGCGGGCTTTCAAAGCCTATAAATTGCACAGGAGGAAATAGCTCATCTTTCTTCTAAGGAGCGCCTGGTGGATTTGAACTGCGTGCCTTTGGGATGGCCTGCCTATGAGGCTACCAGAGCTTCCATCTTTATTTATGTGTACTTCATGTATTAGGGGGCTGTGGTGATCTAGGGGTAAGAAGCAATCCTAATGCAAGCAGTTTGAGTTCATGAGTTCCTTTGTGGAAGGAAGATGGGCAATCTCATCCCACGGGATTAACTGCCTCTGAAAACATGCTGGAGAGTTAGCATACCTTGGGGAAGCTCTGGTAATGTAGTTCATAGGGAGTTGTGCTGCTGAATCCTCCAGTGACTTCTCAGGAGAAAAGTGGACAATTTCCTGCAGTGAAACTTATAAGTCCTGAAAACACACTGGAGTGCCAGCTATGAGGCAGTTCCAGGATCATGAGAAGGCAAAACAAAAGTAAGATTTGATGTGAAAGTGGAGCTCCTCTTGAAGCACTTCCTCCCAAATAGTGAGATAAGTTGGGACGTCAGGCTGGAGACTAAGGTGTGCCTGATCCAGGCTATGTTGTGTTGTTGTTATGTGCCGTTGAGTTGCTTGTGATTAATAGCAACCCTATGTACAACAGCCATAAACTCTGCTCTGTCCTGTGCCAATCGCACTGTCTCTGACACTCCTATCCTGATTACCCCAGTCACTGAACCAATCCACCTCATAGAGGGCCTTCCCCTCCTGCGCCGTCTCTCCACCCTATCAAGCATGATGTCCCTCTCCAAGGACAGGTCTCTCCTTATAACATGTCCAAAGTATGTTAGATGGAGCCACAGAATCCTTGCCTCCAAGAGGCAACCCAGTTTAACCCTTTCCAGGATGACTGTTTTCCTAGCAGTCCATGGTACTCTCAATATTCTTTTCCTGCACCACAGTTCAAAGGCATCAATTCTCCTTCTATCCTCCTTGGTCATTGTCCAACTTTCTGAGGCGTAACAAGTGATTGCAAAGACCATGGCCTGTATCAGACGTACCTTAGTCTCCATTGCTCTTCAGTACTTTGGAGAGGTCCCCAACAGCAGACTTTCCTATGGCAATACGCCTTTTAATTTCCTGGCTACTGGTGCTGAGAGTGTTGACTGTGGAGCGAAGCAAACTAAATCTGTGAACAATCTCAATCTCTTCACCATCTATCCAGGCTATAGTCTTTGCAATTACATGCTATGTATCAGAGAGTTGGACAGTGAATAATAGGGATTATAGAAAGAGAATTGATGCCTTTGAGTTGTGGTGCTGGAGAAGAGTGTTGAATATACCATGGACTGCTAGGGGAACAAACAGGTTTGTCCTGGAGAGGGTGAAGCCAGAATGTTCCCTGGAGTCAAGGATTCTGAAGCTTCGTCTGACATACTTTGGACATGTTGCAAGGAGGGACTGGTCCTTGGAGAGGGACATCATGCACAGGAGAGGAAGACCCTTGATGAGATGGATCGATTCTGAGTGGAGTGGTGGGAATGACTGTGTTTGAGACAGCGAGGTTGCCACAGGATAGGAATGGTGTTTAGGGCTCTTGTACATAGGGTTGCTATGAGTTGCAAACGACTCAATGGCACACAACAACAACAACAACAACAACAACAACACAGGATGTCAGTTTCATAAATATGAAATCCCAGATGCCCAAAATCATAAAAGTAGGACTAACTGATCTCATTTCAAAAGAGTCTTCACAAGAACGGCAAGAACATTACAAAACCCAGAAAAACCCAAACCAGTAACTGATTAATGAATAAGATTAGGGAGCCTTTTCTCCTCACAACTTCCCAGGAGTACTGGCACAGCCTAACGTAAACACGTGACCAAAGAAAGGTAATAAATCTGTGCTCTGTGGCCCTGATTCAGGGCCAATACATTCATTCGGTGAATTAATGAGTTAAATGCATTCTCTATTTATAACAACCTGAAAAAGTTGCAGTTGTTTTCATTTTCGCATTCCGGAAACATGTAGAGATTTTGGTGGCCAATTCTCACAGGTGGTGAGCGATAGGGGACTTAAAACTCAGCCCAGCTGCCCATCGCCTCTGGAGCCACCTAGGTGGAGGTTCTAAAAACTGTGGACATAATCCATTAATAACAATAGTTCACACACGCTGTTTTCTCTGGACCAAGCCACTCTATAAACTTACTTCTTAATCAGCCTTCAAAACAACCGACCCCTAGAGCTAGAAACTATTATTAGAAATTGTTGCCTACTCTTTAAAGGTGTGGCCACAGCTAAGTGTGGCTGAAGAGCTCTAAACATTTAGGAAAGAAAGTTAGGGTGAGGGGGAAGTGTCTCAGTCTTTCAGTTTTCTGAAGGCATGAAGTGTCTGTGGTTTTCTCCACATCCTGTACCCCAAGATCCCCGAGTGAGGTTGGGCGCCCCTTTGTGCCCAGGGATGAGTGCCCAATTATAATGCAAGGTCTCGCCTTCAGCTCACACTTGGGGGCGGGGGGGGGGGCAATCCCGAAGCAATGCACTCCCTTGGCGGCCCAGCTTCAGCCTCTGAATCCATTACCATTGCCACTGCACAGCCAGCACAGCGGTTTGAGGAGCTCAGCTGACTTGGGGGCGGACCCGGGCCTACGGGCGGAGCCGAAGCGCCGGGGCGAGGCGTGTTTGCTGAGGCGAGCGCGCCCGCGGTCGCTTCTACATAGCGCATCCCGCCAGTTTAATCCCGAAGACGCCTCTCCAGAGATGCACCTTCTGCTCCTGCTGCTTGCACTGTGCCAGACGGGCCGCGTTGTCCTGTCGCTCAGCTTCAGCTTGCAAGGAAAGTGGTGGATTCGCGGCGCGAACGACTCGCTGCGGCTTCCGGGGATGGTTCCCGGCTGCGTGCACAGCGCCTTGTTCCAGCAGGGCCTGATTCAGGTATTGACCGCGGCCCTGCTCCCCTGGCGGTGAGAAGGAGGGACTCTGAGAAAAGGCCTGGCAGTCCCCAGAGCTCTAGGCTGTTCTCATCGCTTTTGCGTTAACTTCCCCTTTGAAACTTCTGGTGTGTGGCAAGAAATGCCAAGGCAGTTTATCTACTAGACTGAGACAGACCGGACCTATGCTGAAGCTTCAGAAATTATGGAAGGCGGAAATTTAAGTGGAGAGTGGTATCTTTGCCTTCAACTTCTTGGTTACTGTAGTGCCGGCTGAAGTGGTTGGGTTTGTATGCAAAGGACACACTGCCACCGAAAGGCATGAAGCGCACTGGCTTTAGTAAGGGTTAACAGTATCGTTTTCACTTTTAAGCCACAGGAACTTAGATTTCAGAAAGTTACTGAAAGTAAATTGGGAGAGAATGAAAAAGAGAAAGTTTATATTGGTAAAGGCTAAAGTGTGAAATATTTTAAAGGTGACTGAAATGCTACTACTCTCTTCACTATGTGCGTGTGTCCCCGTTCCAGAAGATGGTCTAATTTCTAGATACCTGGGGCACGAAGAACAGCTGCTTTTGGAGAATGATTTACAGTTTGGAAGCCTATGTCCATAGATTTGCAGACTTCCGTCTTCTAACGCTGTTGCCATTCCACCTGCTGTCGTTTCCCTTTTCTTTATAGAGTTTGCTTTGGACAAAATGTACAATGGTGGGTGGTTTGCATACATTCACCCAATTCTCATGCCAGCTCTTAGGGAATGAATGTTTTTGCCTGGGTGCTGTGGAGTTGTGGAAGGAGGCTTGGTGTTGCAGTGGTAGAGCGCTCTGCTAACCAAAAGTTTTTGAACGCAATCTTTGGAAGCTCTGCAGGAGAAATACCTGGTAGTTTCTCTAAGGTTTAAAAAAAAATGGCTAAAAACTTAAACAAAAAACCATCCCAAACACAAACTAATAAATGCACCCCCACAAATGACCCACTGATGTCAACTTAATTTTTTAAGACAGATTGTCATACTTTTTTCCCAGTGGCAGCAGGCTCCAGCTGCCAACCTGTGCTTAACCTCTGAGCCACCCCCTCTCACTAAAGATTAGAAAACTCTATAGAATGCTCGGGGTTACTATTGCGAGAGTCAGAGAGGACACAAAATTTTCCAAAAATCACATAGCAATTAAGTGACAGAAATGGGATTCTTACACAAGTCGAACTCCATAGCCTGCATTCTTAACCACCTTGCTGCACTCTACTAATTTTTGAAAACTAACGCCTTTTTGAAACACTGGCTGATTGTCAGGAGTAGTGTTCTATCCTTACTTAAATGAGAGAATAGTCCACAAGGGTTATGCAAAATTTATAAATTGAGGTTCTTTACTCCCCTACCTCTGCCCTGGTAATGCACATCACAAATAAGTGAATTCTGGAATAATATTGATCTTACTTTTAAGTGCTTTAACTGTTTTTCATTAACAAGTTAGTTAGAACATAGAACACAGTTGACTTTGGCACACAGAGATTTCACTACATTTGCCTTGAAAGTTTCTGTGCTTATTTTGCAGGATCTTTCCTATGCCCCTAGGTCCTTGGACCATGCAAATATTTTGTGATTGACTACTGTTGTTATTATGTGCTGCTGAGTCGGTTGCAACTCATAGTGACCATAAGTACAGTAGCTCTGAACTCTGCTCTATCCTGAGCCAATCTCACTGTCTCTGACACTCCTACTCCCCATTACCTTAGTTATTGTGTCAGTTCATCTCATCTTCCTTCTCCAAGGACTGGTTCCTCTGGGATATGTGCCAAAGTATGTGAGATGGAGCTTCAAAATCCTTGCCTCTAGGGAGCAGCCTGGCTTCAACCACTCCAGGACAGATTTGTTTGTTCTCTTGGCAGTCTATGGTATTTTCAGTACTCTTCTCCAGCACTACAACTCTAAGGCATTGATTCTTCTTCTGTCATCCTTATTCATTGTCCAAATCTTTGATGCGTAACAAGTAACCGTGAAGATCATGATTTGGATCAGGCACACCTTAGTCTGAAGACTGATATTATTGGTCCTCTACTCTGGAGAGGTCTCCGACAGCAGATTATCCCAATGCAATATGTCTTTTAATTTCTTGGCTACTGGTATCAAGAATATTGATTGTGCAGCCAAGCAAACTGAAGCTGTTAACCATCTCAATCTCTTCTCCATCTATCATGGTGTTGCCAATTGGATCAGTGATGAGAATTTTCGTATTCTTGATGTTGGCTTCAATCCACATTGAAGACTACAGTCCTTGAACTTCTGCAGCAAATACTTTAGGTCCTCTTCAGTTTCAGTAAGCAAAGTTGTGTCATCTGCACAGTGCAGGTGGTTGATGAGTCTTCCTCCAGTCCTGATGGCACATTCCACCTCATAAAGTCCAGCCTACCAAATGATCTGTTCCACATATAGATTGAAAAGATATGGAGATAGATAGGATGCATCCCTGACAAGATGGAAGGAATACACAGAGTTACTGTACCAAGAAGAATTGGCTGACATTGAAGAAATTAATGAAATGGTATATGATTAAGAGGCAATGGTGATGAAGGAGGAAGTTCAAGCTGTTCTGAAGGAATTGGCAAAAAAGAAGGTCTCTGGTATTGATGGAAAACCAATTGACATATTTCATTAAATAGTTGCAGCCCTGGACATGTTCATTAGGTTGTGCTAAGAAGTCTGGAGGAGAACTACCTGGCCAACTGACTGCAATAGATCCATATTTATTCCCATTCTAAAAAAAAAAAAAGATGATCGACAGTGTAGAAATTATCGAACAGTATCACATACAAGCATGATCCTGCTGAAGATTATCCAAAAATGATTGGAACAGTACATCGGCAAATAACTGCCAGATGAGCAGGTGGGGTGTAGAAGAGGCCATGGCATTAGGGACATTATAGCCAATGTCAATGAAAGCAGAGAGTACTAGAGGAATCTCTGTTTAATTGACTATGCAAAGGCATTTGACTGTGTGGACCACTACAAATTGTGGCTGACCTTAAGAATGGATACTTAATTGTCCTTATGCGAAACCTATATTTGGACCAGAAAGCAGTTGTCAGAATAGGGGCATGGTTCAAAATCAGGAAAAGTGATTGACTACTGAAGATTAGTTAGTAGGAGCTCTCGTGGCCTTCTGGCAAGACACTGTCTGCAATCCCAAAGGCATGCAGTTCGAGTCCACCAACTGCTCCGTGGGGGATGGGCGATCTCCTCCTGTGCAATCAACTGCCTCTGAAAACTGTGAGTTAGTTCCAACTTGACAGTACACAACAACAACAACTAAAGATTAGTGATTCATACTCACCAGAAAAAAGGTCTGGTATGTACTTTTATAAAGATTACAGCTAAGGAAGCCCTGTAGAATAGTTCTAATAGAAAATATTTGAGGTTGCCTTGAGTTGGAATCAGCTTTGTGGCAAAATCAGTTTTGATTTTGTTTTTGCTTTTTAGTTACAGAATTAAGCCAATGGTAAAGAATAGTTTTAGCAAAACTGAACATAAGCCTATGTTACAGGACTCACTAGCTCATTTGGTTACTACTTAAAGAGAAAGAACACTAGAAGTTGCACTGCTAATCTAACCCAAAGGTGGCACCTTTTTGGCAATTCTAATTTACTACCAGCGCCTCAAGAGAAAGATGGGCAGTTTCCACCCATGTGATTTACAGCCTAAAAAAACCTACTGGAGGTTCAGTTTTGAATTGATTTCAACACAGTGACAGTTAAGTTTAATTGAGTCTTTCAATAAGGTTGATATAAGTCTTAAGTTGTGTTTAGATGTGAGAGACATTACAGGGATTTGTGAAAATAAAGCGTATTGAAAAAAATATATGTAGTGTTGGAGGAGAGTCATGAATATCCCATGAACTGCCAAGAGAACGAATAGGTAAGTCTTGGAGAGAATGAAGCCAGATTACTCCGTGGAGGCAAGGATGGTGACGCTTCGTCTTGCATACTTTGGGCATGGGCATGTTGTTAGGAAAGGCTGTTCCGTGGAGAAGGACATCATGCTTGGAAACATGGTGGTACAGCAAAGGAGAGGAATACCCTCAACCAAGTGGATCGATACAGTGACTGCAGCAATGCGCGTGAGTATGTCAGAGATTGTGAGGTTGTCATGGGACAGGATAAGTTTCAGATCTGTTGTGTTTATAGAGTTGCTATAAGTTGTATTTGACATGACAACACCTAATAATGATAATTGAAAACAAAAAAATCATCAGTATCCCTGCACTGCAATCCTGAAGGCACGTGGTTCTAATCCACCAGATGCTCTGCTGGAGACGGAGGGGTAATCTCCTCCTGTACCAGTCAGATCTGATTTGATGGTACACACAAAATTAAAAAAAGTAAAAAAAATCATTAGTATCCATTTTGTTTGCAGATGATGAGATATTTTTGTTTTTCCAGCTTCTTTTTTGTTTTTAAAATTGTGATTTGAGGGAAGCTTCCAGCAGCTTTTTGATGCTGACTTTTTGGTGATTGATCACAGGAAATATTTGAAAGCTTAGACTAGAAACTTCAATATATTGTGTTTATGTGAAAATTTGGGCTACATTTAAAAAATATGTTCATTTATTTATTCATTCACTTAATTAATTATCATTTAAATATTTATGAGATGTATTCTGAAATAAATACATACAATATAGCAGACTAAAGTGCTTAAAATGGACAAGTGAAGACAATAAAACTTTTACTTCAATGAATATTCTAGTGGAAGAGACTGACATTAGGTAGATTAATAACTGGTAATATACTGAAGATGAATAAAGGAGGGGTAGATGAAGAGAGATAAGTTTGGTTGGGAAAGATTGTTGTTAAAGAAGGTTTAAAGGGATGCTTTTAGATAAAGTGGCTTTTAAGCAGATGAGCATTTCCCTGCAGAAATGAAACCCAGGCTTTGAGTTGGGAACACAGTTCCAGGAACTGTGGGCAGGACCATTCAGTTGGAGCCTAGTGAGCCGGAGAGGAGATGAC